CCCCCCCCCCCCCCCCCCCCCTCATCTCCATTTCGCCGATTGGTTACAGTAGTACCAGGGGGTGTTTTGGTGGGGTGGGCATGTAGAGGATATGGGGATAGAGTTTAGGGGAGTAGAAACCATCAATTTTACGAACGAAACTTCGTAGGTGCCCCGGGTCATAGTATGACTCAAGATTCCAAGGTCAAGAGAATCGTTTTGTTTAATCATATATCCAGCAAATATTTATTTTTTAAAATTAGAAATCTCATTTTTAATATATGTACACATTTGAAAACAATATAATGCTCACTAAAATTATACGAAATATTTATTTTTGAGACCATTGCACCGAAACGGAACCTGCTGATATACTCATCTTTGTGACATGTATCATCGTGGCCGTCGGCGTCGCCATACCTAGAATTTTGATCCAGTTGTGGGTTTCAACGATTTTTATCGCCGCTATCGCATTCGCCGTACATCCAACATACGGTTTTGCTATCATCGCCTTCGTTGATCTGTTATAGCAATGTCGTTGACACCTTTTGCGCTGCTCCTATCACCGACCTAAAATTTTTGTTGTCACTCTCTGTTGTCGCCGCCATCGTCTTCTCCACTCTTTCAATCCACACCCAATTGTTCCCGGAGATAAGTACAACCAGTTCTACCAAAACCTATTATTTACTAGTGAGAGCATATTGAAGTGAAGAGCTATAATATGAAAAAGCTAAAAGCAATTTTAGCTTTTCAATAAAATCTTAACTACTCACTTTTTATCCATAATCCATGTTATGTGGAACAAAGGGATGGACATCGGGGTCGACATGAACATTGTCCCCTTATTGGACAGACGATGTCGTTGTGACATCATCCCTTCATCCCCTCTTATCCTCTCTTACTTCTTCACTGTCTTTTGCAATTATCTTTGTTTTTTCAAACTTGGTCGTCGCAATCGACGGAAACCATCCCCGTCAGGTATGGCCTTCTTTTTCACGGGAGGAGCAAGTTGAGGTGGACGTCAGGATGTCGTGATAAATGCACTATGACCTAACTTTTATATTATACGCTTCTATTATATTTTTGGATTAAATATATTTTTGGTCTCTATAAAATGAGCATTTTTTGTTTTCAGTCTTTCTAAAATATTTTTTAATTAAACCATCCCCGTAAAATAGTTGCTTTTGTAAATGGTCCTCCAACTAACTTAGAATTAATTTGTCAGGGTTTAAAGGAACCAAACGTGAAATCCCTTTAGTTTAAAAACATTTGAGAGAAATCAAATACAATAATAAAAACACCCATAGATAGGCGAAAAACAAAAATTTCTTATTTTAGAGATACTGAGAGCATATTTAGCCCTATATTTTATAAATTTTCAATAACTTGTATTTAAAAATTTGACGTTATTCGTTTTTAGATTATACCCATTGTTTCACATACACAAATACACTTTATGAATTAATAAATACATGAATTCAAATTTTATAATATTTATTTTATTTTAAAATTCCTAGATTATTTTACAAAATTAAAAAAATAGAAAAAGAAAACCGACAATGTCAAAATAGAAGTGAAACAAAAGAAAGCCCTCATCAAAGCTGCCATTGAATCGAAGCATCAGAACATGAAACAGAAATTTTAAAGGATGCATATAGGATGAGGAAAGGACCCCGTAGGGATAGCTCAATTGGTTAGCTCAATTGATTTTGAAAGGAATAGATTCGCGACAAGGCACGAGGTTGAGGCCACGTGAGCTTTAACTTACATCCAAAATTCACTGAAAATGGGTTTGAAGCTCTGGGATTTCAAACTGGGGCTTCAAACCTTCATTTTTTACATTTTTAAATATATATCTTCTAAAATTAAATTAATAAAATATAATTAATTTATTATTTAATTATATTAAAACACGAATAATAAAAAAAATACATTCATTAAATGAAAATAATTAACTTCAATAAAAAAGAACATTTAGTTAAAAAATTAAAACAAATTATATTTAGCTTTGATCTCGTTATGTCTGCTCTCGAAAGAAAATTATATTCGTTTGGTCGTTTGACTCGAGACCGGACAAAGGAACATCAAAAATGAAGAGATTCATGTTAAAAAGATGAAAAAATTTGAATATTTTTTTTTAATTCGAAGAAGATAGAGGAAAAGATTTTGTGGGTGTTTAATTAAAAAAAATTAAAGAAGAAAGATTTTGTTTGTGAGTTTTATTTTTAAAAAAAAATTGAAGAGGAAAATATTTTGTGGGTGTTTAGAGGAAGAGTTTTTTTTTAATTTGAAGAAAATAGGGCAAAACGCCCGTTATAAGTTTAACGCAATGCATATAACGCTCGGATGAAGCCCCGGGGGGCGGTGTTTAACGCCCCTGGGGCGTTAAAAATGCAATAATGCCATTGGGCGTTACATGCATACCCAGTGGCCTCATGACATGTTTATTTTTATTGTAATCAGATTAGATCAGAAATAACTTTAAATATAACTATATCTGGATTAGGTCAGATAAGAATTTATTTCAATCGGATCGAATCCATTCAAATCAGGTGAAGAGAACATGACCTTAGTGGTGCTAAGAAAAAAAAAAGATAAACTACGAGAAAAATAGATAAAGAAAAAAATATCAATGATTTTATTCTCAAAATATAAGTTACTATGTCAATAATAATAACATAACATATAATATAAAAAAATAAAACAATGACAGATTGTCACAGTGTAATTTTCTAACTCCGAAATAAAAATATGTCACTTATATTTTGAAGATACAAAATATGTTTTACTTCTATTTTGGATAACTTGTAAAAAAAACCGTCTTCATTATTCACCATTCAAATTCAAACTATTATGCAAGAGTGTCTAAAAGTTTGTGAAAAATAAATGATAAGTCTAATCTAAGAAAAAATAGTACTTTTTTATATTATCTTTCCGATATAATTTTTTTAAATCAAATAAGATAAACTTTAAGGACCGATTACATAAAAATTATGTTGCATATTAATACAACAAAATAATTTATTAAAAGTTGAAGGTGCAAAAATAAAATGAAATTATTTTTGTAGTACTCGTAATAAGCAATATTTATAGTAACTTTTTTTTACTTAATGATCAAAGCTTGTTCATTTTAATTCAAAAGAATAAAATTGAACAAATACTATGAGATAAAGATATTTCATTATGTCACGAAATTTTAAAGACAATTACCTCGGAGTACTTTAATTTTAGTTTTTACTTTTAATTTTTGTTTTAAATTTTAAATTTTTTTCATTTTTTGTTTTTAATTTTAGTTTTTTTGGTTAATGAAATGGTTAAAAAATAAAGACAAATAAATCAATGAGATTTTAATTTAATTTAATACTAATAAAACATTTAATTTAATACTAATAAAATATTCAATTTAATATTTAAATTAAATTTTCATGAAAAAATTAAATTAAATTAAGTCTTAAAAAATCATACTTCCTCTATCCAAAATTATTCATCTCTTTACTATTTAAAGTCTCTCTATAACGTAAGTTTGTATGTATGTTTTTATTGATGATTTGATAAAATAAAATATTTTTGTAACATTTATATTGGTGCATTTTATTTGTATACCAAGCTGTAAAAAAATTATTTTAAGAAATATAGAATCTTGCACACTATTCAAAATGAGAATACTAATTTGAGGCATAAGGAATATTTAAAAAAAGGGAGGAAATGAGAAAAGAAGGTGAATAAAAGAAGAAATATTATGGGATTGTTTGAATGAGGAGAGAAAATGAGAGGGTAAGAAATTAAAAGGAAAGAAAATGAGAGGAAATATATTAGAGAGAAAATGAAAAGAAAATGATTGTTGTTTGGATGAGTGAAAAATTTGAGGATATGTAAAAGACATTGTTATCCTCATATAAGAATGTGCCAATGTGTAAATATAAGGACAAAATAGTAATTATAAAAATTTTCTATTCTACCCCTCGTTTTCACCGCACTTATGGGAAACATTTTCTCCATTTCTCACTTAGGCTGCGTTTCATTCGCCTGATCTGATCTGATTTTTTAAAGTTATCATCTGAACTAGACTGATCTGATTGGATCTAATCTGATCTAAATTCGATATAAATTAAACTTAAAATTATTACCATAATTTATTAACTTTTAAAAATTATACTGATCATTCATATATATTATAATACATTCAATATTTTTTTATTTTAGAATAATTAGATTTATATAAAAATAATTAATTCAATTATACATTAAAATAATAAATCACTGATAATAATCAATATTTCAAAAATTTAATCATTTGTTTTTTTAATATTTGATATAGAGAAGAGAGATTATTATTAAAATATGTAATTATTAGAAAATATGAATCTTATGCTACAAAATATTACATTTTTCTACATCTTACATAATAAATTTATACTACAAGATATGAATATAAAAAATTTCTTATGCTACAAAATATTACATTTTTTCTTAAATTTATGTGTATAGTTGTCACAAGCACTACCTTCAAATTCTAGTTGTCACAAATCAAAATTTTAGTTCAGACAAGATATGACTCCGCATGGTTATGTCATGAGCATTACATTCGAGCCGACATTGCCACATGCGAAAAGACTATCAAATGATAGGTTGTAATAATAATAATAATAATAATAATAATAATAATAATAATAATAATAATAATAATAAGTGAGGGTGAGTGTTATCTTTTTTCATGACTAGATATGTTCCTCCATGACTCCATCCATCTCTTCTTACTAGTTGATGACAATATTATGTTGCAATAGTAATAATAATAATAATAATAATAATAATAATAATAATAATAATAATAATAATAATAATAATAATAATAATAATTTTAATTGGATATGACCTGATTTAATTGGATCTGGTTTGATCTGATACTAATAAGAAAACGCAATAAGCAGAAAAAATAAATTGAATGAAACATTGTCTTAGGCCAGATTATCTTCACATGATCTGATTGGTTTTTACCTGATTATAATAAGTTCTGATCAGATCTGATTTGATTTGATCTAATTTTCTGATTACAATCAGAATAGGTAATATTCATTACATAATAAGAATAAGTTAGGAGAACATGGCCTTAGCTCTTTTCTCTTCCCCATTCCTTTTCTCTTTAACCCAAAGAGAAAAAAAAATCATTGTGAAATGAGCATCTTCTTCCTAATTTTCTTTCTCTACATCATCCAAAACATAGGGTAAGGGTGTGTTTGTTTGGTGGGGGTATTTGACCCTTGGGTAAGAGGCTAAGAGCCACTCCGTAAATCATACCAACCGATCATAAAAAAGACACAAGTGGGTCCATCCATAATCCATAATATAGCAGAAGTCTAACGAAGGGCAGGGTACGGCGTCAGCCAGCGCGAATCCTGAAACCCAAAAGTGGCAGGCATTTGGATTAGCCATCTTAACGTCCACGTTCTTCCGTCCCAGTCCCGTCCCCGTCCCCGTCACACTCCCACAAGCATTGATTTCTGCAAAGATTCTACTGACAAAATCGTGCAATTTCCCAGTACAGGGTTTATCCTCCCCCCCCCCCGATTCCCCAAATCGATAAAATTTCTCGGGATCCTCCGTATCCNGTGAAATCGGGCAACGGATTCGCACATTCTCCGGCTAGAATCGGCGGGAATCGGTCCGAGAGAGATGGAGGAAGCGGGCAGAAAAGTGAATGTTAGCAAGAAGAAGATGGTGAGGCAGCTGACGGGGAAGCACGGGGACAGCGAGCTCCACTCCGCCGCGAGGGCCGGGAATCTCGGGGAGGCGGTTGCTATAATCGGTCGGTGTGCGGGTGAGGGAGAGCTGGACGAGCTTCTGTCCCGGCAAAACCAGTCGGGAGAGACGGCGCTTTACATTGCGGCGGAGTATGGGTATGTGGAGCTGGTTGAGGAGATGGTGAAGCACTATGTTCTTCGATCTGCCGCCCTCAAAGCCAGGAATGGATTCGATTCCTTTCACGTTGCTGCCAAACGAGGAGATATCGGTGAGCATATTCCTTTTTG